ATGAGGACATATCATGACAAGGGAACAAAGGGTATATATATATATATGCAAGAAATGTTGCAGAGGATTCACATAAGATATACCCTATTTGGGTAACTGATTAAATGTTGGAAAGTAAGAGTTTTATATACTTGTTATATAGGCAAGGTTTTCTTTTCTTTCTTCTTCTATTATTATGAAAAATAACCATACAATTTAAATTTTACTTGTAGTTTTTTACCTTCACAGTAAAAAAAAAATCATATGTTCAATTTTCATAGTTAGAATGTAATCCTATCATTTCCTTATTTCCTCATTTAAAAGATAAGGAAATGAGTAAATTAGAACTTTTTACTTTTTGCCACCTCTCTCTCAGACACTTGAGTTTTTGTTGCTATACTCAGGAAGTCTAGAACACATAATTATTAAATTATTTATTTATATTTGTACCTTATGTCTTAAAAATTATTTTTTATATTCTCATATTTGCAAGAAGTTTTTACTGAATCCAATATTTAAGTTACTTCAAATATTTACAAATGTTTCTTTTATATCAGCATTTCACCTTTCTTGGTTTTTTTGACAAAGTGTATCTTCAATTATTTCACAAAATAGGAGGTATATTTCTGAACCTTGAGGTATCTAAGAATATTTTTGCTTTCCTTTCCTATGTGAAAGATAACTTGGGTGGGTATAGACTTTGTAAGTCAAACATTTCTCAGGCCAATGTAGATGTTATTCTATTTAGTTTCTGAAGTTTAATGTTGAGATGTCTATGTTTCTTTATTTTTCTTTCTTTGCAAGTAATTGTTTTTCCCTGCCCAGATTCTTGTTGAATTTTTTCCCTATATTAAACACAGGAAGCCTTCTCTTAGCCTCTGATGCCTGGACTAAGACTTCTCCAAAGTCTTTTCAGAGTCCTTTATGTTTATCTCTATTGTAATATTCTAATACAACATTGTATTATCATCAGCCAAAAGAGACATTAAGTTCTTTTAAGAGTCTTTGTCACCTTTGTATCCCTAACTTTTAGCAGACAGCAAGCACTCACAAAATGTTTACTGAATAAATGAATACATGAATAAATTATTTAATTTTGAAATTTTCATCAGGATAAGTCAAAGTGTTTGATCTGTTTTCATTAATGTTTCAAAACTAATTGAGTCCTTCTCATCTCCAATGACTTTGAATCAAAGCATTATTTCAGATACCTTCTGATATCTCTTTGATTGCTATTTCTGTTCCATTTAGTCTGATCTCTTCTTCAGGAAGTTGTTGGAGCACTATATTTCCACTACTCCATTTAATGTTTTTTTATCTATTTGTCCTTTCCATTTATACTTTGAGAGTTTTTCAAGCTTTTATTCTAATCTTGATTTCATATTCTACAGTATTGATTCCATCCTTGATTATATCCAAATAATATTTGAATTTCTTCTCCATTGCATGTTCTATGTCCATACAGCCTTAACTTATCTAACTTTGTATTTATTCTCCCTGCCTCTTAACTAGATCACTCCTTATCTTAGTCTTATTGTCTTATATTTCATCTCATTTTATAGAAAATGCAAGGCATATTCTTTCCATTTACTTAATCTCCTGGTAAACCATTTTCCAAAGTGATCATTTTCTCTGTATTTTGATGACTCTGTCCTTTTTCAGATAGGACATAATGATGTGTCCTTTCTTCAAATAAAGAAGTATAATATTTTCAGGTGGAGCATAATCTTTTCAAAGTGGAGCATAATCTTTACAAAGTGGTGCTTTGTCTTATATTTACTCATTCTAAGCTTTGTGTAGCCCTTACTAACCAGATGTATAATTTTCCTTGGTTCTTCTCATTATTTTCCTGACTTCTACTGGTTTCTCAGCATAGATCTTGAGCCAAGAAACAAATAGACATGCATACCACACACCTAAATTTTTGGCTTGAAGCTGACATTTATCAATTTTGTCACCATGGGTACTGGCTCAAGGCAAATTCCCTCACCTTTATTGCCTAGGTATTTTACTATAAAAAGGAGAATTCCTGGTTAGTCAGAAACGATCCTTGGTCTTCTCTTTGATAGGAACCATATAAGAAAATATTAAACTCCCAGAAAGAGTCAAACACCCAGCCTTGTTTCTTCAGCTCCTTTCATTATTGGTTTCATATATCCTTAAACACAGAACATCAAATCTATCCACTCTCATTGATATTACGCTGGTATACTCCAAACCACAGCTCCAAAATAGATAACGTTAAAGCTATGGATATTGGATAGCAATATTGCGCAACATTGGTGAAAAGCACTAACAGGGGACATTGGGGCAAGGAAGTATAAAATACTACTTGTAGGTAACACACAATAGTAGGCTTACTGTCCAATTCACTGTTAGGTGTCATGAGGTAGATAGTTTTCATACTATCCTTCAGGCCGGCAGATTTGCTCACCTTCAGACAGCAAGGTTCATGTCCATTTCAGCCCCCACAGTTCTTGCAAATGGTGGAAAAATACTGTCAAGTTTTGTTACTAGGATGCTTGTCAGCAGGGTAACAGTTATTCTTTTGATGGCTTTTTGTGCCTTAGAAAAAGGCACCTCTCTGGGGAAGACTGAAGCCCAAGGGAGCAAGACTTGGCAAAGCGAGAACCAGTCAGCTGGGTGCTCTGCACAGGGCGCAATCTGCTCAGCCATTCACACAGGGCCTGATCATCAATCCTGCCTTTCATTGTTATTGTGAGTTCTCATATTTTTCATTAGACATTTAGTTTAGAGAGTCTGAGACACAAACAGCTAGTCCAGATGTCATCCTAAATCAGAAGTCACCAGATTCTATTAATAGTGATATTTCACATCAAAGATTTGACTGAAATCATTGATGCATACCTGACATTCCAAGTTGTGGTAAGTGTTTATACTAGTAGCAGCTTTCCTTGTCCCTAGATTTATATTCAGAACTCTCAATAAAATATTAATCAGTTTCAGAAATAGTTCCTAAAATACATTTAACAAGCCTGAAGTTCTCATTTTCTTTCTGCCTGGCTCCACAGTACTGCTTGCTAATCTGTGGTATATAAATATAACATAAGTAAAGGAAAATTAGAGTGAAATTATGTCATTTTTTACAAGGATTATTTCTCAAATAAATGTCTCAACTCACTTCCTAACTTCAATATAACATACTGTATGTCAATTCTTAAAAATTCTTCATTATAGAAAAAGGAAAATGTTTGACACCATTTTGGCACAAAACTCATCCATCTACCCCAGCATTCATGCATGTTTCACACATTGGAGAAGTACATAGCCACTTCCCTTCATGACTAAAACGTTATGGGAGTGGAAACAGAGAAAATGATATATTTATAAAATGTGTGTATTTCATTTTTTCTTCCTTATTCAAAATTTGTAGCACCTCCATATTGCAAAATTCTTGTATATTCAATTTAAGATTCTGAGTGTATTATTCTACTATTTCAGTTAAATATCATCAAAGCAGCTCCTTCAATTTGCTCAAAAGCAGTGCTGCGTAAATAAGACTTCATTAAAATTAAAAATTTCTGCTCAACTAAGACACTGTCAAGAGAATGAAAAGACAAGTCACAGTCTGGAACAAATATTTGCAAAAGATACAGTTGATAAAGAATTGTTATTCAAACATACAAAGAATTTTAAGAAGTTAACAATAAGAAAGCAATCCAATTTTAAAATGGGCCAAAGACTTTAACAGAGACCTCACCAAAGACGATATACAGATGGCAAATAACCATATAAAAAAGTACTCCACATCATGTTATCAAATAAATGAAAATTATAACACAATGAGATATCACTACAAACCTATTAAAATAGCCAAAATCTGGAACATTGACACCACCAAATGCTGATGAGGATATGGAGCAACAGGAACTCTCATTCATTCTAGTGGGAATGCAAAATGGTACAGCTACTTTGAAAAACAGTTTGGCAGTTTTTTACAAAACTAAACATACTTTTACCACATAGACCAACGATCATGCTCCTTTGTATTTACCCCAAAGAGTTGAAAACTTATGTCCACACAAAACCTGCACACTGATGTTTACAGCAGCTTTATTCATAATTGCCAAAACCTAGAAGCAAACCAGTATGTCCTTTCATGACATGGATTTGACTTCTTTTCCTGAAAGGAATTCCAGGGAAAACCTGGTGGAGGGAAGGAGCCAGCATGACATGACAAGGCAACACCTATCATTTCAAGGCATTCTAAACTTTACCATGTGCTTTAGCTTACATTATCAGATTGTAATTCACAACTATCCATCCAGTGAAGTAGGTTATCACTGTCTTCATTTGTCAGACAGAAAAAAAAAATAGGCTCATTAGGTTAACCAAATTCCTTGGGCCAGCAGTTAATTGGGAGAACACACACTTTTCTTGAGGCATCTGTCTAAAATGTGTATCTTGGAGAATATTTAAGCATGTCTAAGAAATGGAATAATGGGGAAGTCTTAATCCATGGGAAATTTTCTATGAAGGTCTACTTGCAATTACTAATCATTCAGCTTTAGCAAGTACGCCTCACGGAAAGTATTACAAGTTGGGGAAAAACCAAATGGACGCGTCTGGTGTGTCTCAGACTCTGGACCTTAATAACCTTAATCGCGTTCACAGGTGGATGTGCTGAAAATGCAATTTCCTGAGCTCTAAACTCTAGGAATCTTGAGGGGTGAGCTGGTGAACCTACATCTTAGCAAGCCTCTCAGGGTATTCTTGTGTTGGCTGGCACATACAGGGTGATGTTTGGCCTGGTTTTTGTTTGGCAAATACCTCGAGAAGACCTTCAGGTGACCTTTAAACTTGACACTGTACCTCTCTCTGTGGCTGTTCTTTTCCCTGTGAGGCGGAACCGAGATACGCTGGTTGGAGCGAAGCGGGGCGGGAGGGGCCGGGCCGGGCCGGGGAGGTGGAGGGGGAAGGGTTAAAGGCGCCGCGCGCAGGCGCTGCCCTCTGAACTGGAACGGAAAACAACTTCCGGCTGGACTCGCTCTGCCGGGCGCCGCGGATCCCGGGGCCGAGAGACCGGCGCGGAATCTCTCGACTGTGAGTAAGAAACTTCTTGAGCGAGTAGGTGTGTCCGAATCCGTCGAGCACAGCGACGGAGAACTTGTGTGTATGAGTGAGAGGGCGGCGCTGCCGGTGTGGGTGCCCAGGGAGAGAAGCCGAGGAGCCGCGAAGACCCCCCCGTTCTCGAGCGGGGAGGGACTTGATGTGAGAGGCGCAGCCCGCGTCCCGGTCCCGGAGCCCAGCCGGGAGGGGCTTTCCGGGCCTGCCACGTCAGCGCTGCAACGACGACCTCCGCGACGCTCCGGTGGAGGGATCCGTCCCGACTCAGCGTCGGCCGCTCTCTGCGACTTGACTTCTCCGGGCAGCGGGGGAGTCGGGGCTGGCGATGTCAGGGTGAGCAGGGGACCCCGTCAGGAGTGTCCCAGGTCCCCTCTGGGATGGGGGCTACCTTCCAGAGGCTAGTACTATCGTGGTTATTCTCTTGAAAACTCTTCATAGGTTCTTTCTGGGTTTTTTTCCCCAAGCCTGTTACTCAATTTCGCTCTCTCCTTTTCTGTGGGGTGTCTTCATAGCCTTGTCAATGAGAAGTTGAGTAACTTCCCGGAGGGTCATGGAGCGAATAGGTGTCGGATGCGGAAAGAGCAAAAGCAAAGCCCTGCCTCCAGTGGGAACCTAGGCAACTGGTAGAGTCCCCACCCGGGTATAAACTGAGTAGCAACGAGTTACAGGTGTGAAAAGCTGTGCTTGTCAAGAAGTGAAGAAAGGAGGAAGATACCCAAACCAAAGAGTAATTGTCTCTCTTACTGTTAGGCTGTAACAAGCCAAAGTAAAGCAGCCTTGCTATGGAAGTGCCATTTATGTCACAGATAAAGGTGACAATTTATCATAAGGGAGAGGTGGTAGTAAAGGAAGTGAAGTGACACGAAAGTGGAGAAAAACAAAATGATCCACCTCCCTACCACGACTGCAATACACATTTCAAACTACAGCAGGTGGAGGTGACAGAGAAGCAAGCACTGTATTCTGTTGAAAAGTTATTTTGTCCGCATCATTTGGAAGGGTATGAAAACCCTAAAATGCTGTAACCAACCATGTATAAAGCAGAAAATGAAACTTCTCATCCTTCTCCCAGGCCTTGTCCATCTCTCTTACATGGACATGAGCGTGTTACTTCACTTTCTTATGAAAATGAAATTATATATGTATATTATTATCTAATTTTTCACATAAAGAAAAACATGCTGGAAGTCTTGCCACATATAGCTCTACTTTATCTTAACTTCTTGGTATTCCTTTGTCTGGATGTACCATAAGGTAGTTAACCATCTCTGAATATGGACTGTCCATATATTTTGCCCTTTACTCTTCAAAATTATTTTTCTATATTTCTTTAAGATACAGATATATTAATCCTTTGTGCAAGAACTATCAGTCTTTATGGTTTAAAATGCCCAGGTTTTGTATTGCTTAAGAAGGTGGTCCCACTCAAAAATTACGAAAAATTTTCCCATGTTCATAGTGTTTTATATTTTACTCATTAAAACATCTGTAAATATTTGGGTTTTAGCCACTTTTCCTGAAATTATTTGTTGAAATCAATTCTTAACTGACTAGATGAAATGCTATCTTCATATTTTCCGTGATTACTTAGAGATCTTTTTCTGGATTCTTCTGTTGCTTTGTTCTATTTCTCTCTTAAAATACAAATACCAATCTCTTTCATTTTATGGCATTTTGTTAATTCACAAGGCAAGTCCCTCTGCATTTGTCTTTTTCAAAAATTTTTTGAATAGTATTACATTCTCTTTCAGGTAAAATTTCAAGTAAGTGTTTCATTTAAATAATCCTTTTGGGGTTTTCACTATTCACTAATATTTTGTGGCTGGTATGTGGATGACTGTTTATATATCTAACCAACTTTCTAAACTAATTAGTTTTAATTGTTTCTCTTGAATTTTCTAGAAAAACAATCATCTAAACATAATCTCATTTCTTCCTTTATATTTCTGTCTTTCTTTGGTTTAATGAATTGCTAGCTTCTCCAGAACAGTGATATATAGTAACAGTGATTCTGGCCATCCTTATCGTATTTCTGAGTTTGTGGATGTTATTACAATGTTATCATTAAATATGAGGTTTTCTATTAATGTCCGGTAAGTTTTATTTTTCAAGGAAGTGTCTTTAATATTTCTAACTTACTACGATTTATGCAGAGAGCAAATTTTGGGTTGTGTCCCAAGTTTTTGTTTGTCTTGTTTTGGTTTGATTTTTGTTTCTGTTTGCAATGGCTAGCACTTTGAGAGCAATTTTAATAGATGTTGAGTGTTCGTTTGGTCTGTGTATTTCTTGCTGTTAAGATTATGTCTTTTCACTACTTAACATTTTTATTAGGAATGGAAGTTGAATTTTGTCACATGGCTTTTTGGTATCTGTCATGACCTATTTTGTGCTTTTCTTCTTTAAATATTAGGATGGTGAGTTATTTTAGTAGATTTCCAGTTTGTGAACCAATCTTACACTTGTTCATGGTATAATATTTAAGCATATAGGCTCCTTTTTGGTAACATTTTATTTAAAATACATAACTGAGTATCATCTGTAGTCATTGTTTTCTGTGTTATCAAGTTTGATACCACAGTTTGATATCAAGGTTATGCTTGTTTCCTAAAAAGATCTGAGAGTTTCTTTCTCTACTCCAAAGTAGTTTAATTAGTATAAGAGCTCTCTGTTCTTTGAAGGTCTGAAAGAATTCACTCTATTAAATCATCTTGGCCTTAAAGTACGTTTTTCTTAAAACAGCAACAATAGTCAGCACAAAGGTCCAGAACTTAAAAAGCAAGCAAACAAAAACTCTTTAGAGTAAATCCAAATAAAGGGTTTGAAACACCAATAATATCAAAAACAAAGAACTGCTGTACTGATCTTGGTCATTTTTACCCCTTACCTCTTTTTTTTCCATGGTAAGGGAAAATGCTGTAGGTAGCCTGAAGCTGAGAATAAAATGTATTGCTGTTCTTTTTCTTCTACCCCAGTTATATTAGAAAAGAAAGGGTGTTACTTCTGTCTGGACAAGTTCTTCGATGCCCTGAAAGAAACTTAGGAGTAAAACTCAACTGGGAAAGCATCAGTTTCACTTTGTTGCCCAGTTTTGCTGGGAACTTTCTTGCTTTAGAGGTAATAATCAAGCTGACATTGTACTGTAGCCAAGTCCCATAGGGGGATTTCAAAGTGAGTAGGTGAGAAAACACACAAGCTCAGCATGCTTGTACTTATTTAATATGAAGTGAAAAATCATTAACACAGTCCAAGTATGTTTGTGGTGTGTGTACACGGAGTGAACGTGACTGACTGCAAGGAATATCAACCATCTAACTAAAGTCCACCTTTTTTTACTCAACTAAGAGTTAACCATTAATATGTGGATAATAGTATATTGTATAATCTTTGTAGAGTTACTAACTTTTATAAATGATTATTTCTGACATTTTTTGATCACTTTCAAGAATACAACCTGAAGCAGGTAATATCATTTAGCAATATATACATCTGTGAACTGTGGAGGATACATCAAGACACTCATTATTTACAGGAATGTAGGCATTATGTAAATGATTGGATATTTAGATATTTTAATTGATCTTCTATTAATCTAGAACCAAATCTTTGTTGACGTGTTTTGGGGCATGCCCTATAACAAAGAAAGACTTTGTGTATTTTGGGTATTTTTTAAAACCATACCCATTATCCAAAGGTAAATGGTAAGTTAAAAAAAACTAAAACTTCTCTGTTCTAACTATTCTGGTGTAATGCATTAGCTGATACTACTATTTATCCTTTTTGTTTTCGAACATGTAAGCATAAATATTACTGTTTAATTTCAACTTGTTTGCATTTATGTCAAGCCACATTTTGGTTTGTATTTCCTATAGGATTTACACTGTAGTAGCCAGTCCTTCCCCTCTATCCCAGCCTTGCTATCTCATATGCTTGGTGCTATGGTTTTTAATCATAGATACAGGGAAATAAGAGGTTGCTATCTAAAATAGGTAAAAAAAATAATAATAATAAATCTCTTAATGGTCCAGGACCAAGATTCTGAGTCATCTTGAGAAAAGGATAACAGAGAATATGAAATAAACTGCCTTTTGGTTAGTTAGTTAATTACTATACAAAGTCTTTTGAACTTAGTTGTCAAATAATGAGTAGAGGAGTATTGGAGCAGGCAGTGGTACTAGGTCCTTTGCAATTGCAGACAAGCCTTTGGGACCCATGTAATACATGTGTCATAGTTTTTCAATCCCTAGTCTATGAAAACATTTTTTAAAATTGTGGTTAAATACATATAATGTGAAATTTACCATCATAACCATTTTTAAGTGCAGTTCAGTAGTGTTAAATACGTTCACATTTTTGTGCAGCCAAAAAACATTTCTTGAGGGACTTAGTTTTTTAAGAAATAGAGTTTGGTAAATAAATAATAATGATAATTGTTTGTCTCTTGGGGGAAATGTCCTGTCCAGTTACCTGAGTTTTACTTTTAGAGATACACTCTCTGTGAGGGTAATTATCAGTACTAAATTATGACAGTGAATAGTTTGAAGACCAATGATCTGCAGTAGCTTTCATTTACCATCAATACTTTTCCTTTGCAAAAAAGACACATCTATTGAAAATAGGTTGTTAACAGTGAAAACAAAGTCTGTCTTCAAGTCATTACAATAAGTAATTGCAATGGAGTAAAAAAAAAAATACAAGTTCCATTTTGGTGGTTACTTAGTAAGTTGAAGTTATAAGAATCCTTCAAATATATTTGCATAGACTGAGGTGTGGAGAATTGTTCTCTTGAGCAACAGAACAAACACAACCAGGCAATTTTGCTGTGGTGAGTCACTTGCTAAAGGGACAGAAGTCAGGGACTCTGGTCCCTACAAGATAATGTATCATTTTAAATTGCTTGAAGAAAATCAGCTGTTATTGTGGGCCATTTAAATGGTTTTACTATTCATAGCCATTTATTATATAACATTTACTGTATTTCATGACTTCACATATTTGCTATCCCTAAACTAGAAATGCCTTCCCCTTGGTATTGATGTTTCTCAACCTTTTTAAATCCATATTTCCTTTTTGATAAATATTAAAATCTCACAAACCCTAGGAGATTTTAATGTGTTTCTTCCTTCCTACACAGTCCTCTCTTACACCTCCTTATACCAAATATAAACTTTTTCTTATAGTTCCCCCACCCAAGAATTCTGCAGAGCCCTACTTTATATAGTTTATGAAAATGGATTTTAATATTAAGCAGCCTTTTTAAACTTCATAATACCCCACCCCCATCTCCAGATTATAACATGATCCTTCCTCAGAAGGGAGGATACCCCTTACGTGGC